AATTCCTGCACTTTTTCTTAGGATACTCATACGCACAAAACGAGCTCAAAGTTTTGGTTAAAACTTTATATAACAATATATATATATACTATACATAGTGATTAAAAGTGTATGTTACAGCAATTTTTTTTAATTTATTTACAGAATAGAAAATAATATATTATAATGTAACATTTTTATTAAATATTTTAATCTAAAACTCTATGTGGGATTGAAATATTTAGACGCCCTTTAGTGTGTGAACTTGGGGACAATTTTTAGGCCCAGTTGTACTGTTCGCCGTTTAAAGTGTGATGACCTATTTTTTCGAGGTCTTAATATACGTAGCTGTTTAGAAAATACTATCATTAAGGTTTTGGACATGGCCAGGTCAAATTTAATTTTAATTACCTATTAATATAAATGATAAATATGAAAACTATTAACTCAATTATTTTAGTGGTAATATAATACTTGATATTTTAAATAGGTATTATATTATAATATTATTTATAATTATAGGGATTCTAAATTTGTACACGTTACAAATAACTCAGCCAAAGATCACAATCAGTGGGGTCCAACAAGGTGTAATGATAGAGATAATAGTTTAAAAATCATTTTTTCTGTTTTACATAGGCAAGATATACAAACTCTAAATAATATTTATTAACTAATACAATTTCGTTTTGATTTGGTGGGATAGATGGGCGTTAATTATGCATCATGCTAAACATATTATGAAACACTTGAGTGTTAATGATAAAAACTATTATTTATTATAATTAATAGTTAAAAGGTATAACTTATTTAAAACTATAATATAGGTACTTTGAATACTTAAACCAAACTAATAAACGAGTACAGACATTTCAAACGAGAATCACTAAATTATGTAACAAACTATTATAATGATACCGATGATAATTGTAGAATCTACCTATTGATAAATTACATCAGTGCTACCTACAGCTGAATTTAGATTCCAGTACTGTGAATAGTAGATTATTTTTCTGTAATCTATGTTTTATACGATTTTGAGGTTAGGTCAATTGTAAGATTGATATAATCAACTATCATTCTCTGTTCTAATAACTATATTGTTCTATACTTTAGAAAGAAACAGTTGATTTTTTTTAATTTTCACAAAATGGCAGAAGAAGAAATTACGAAGGCGTTGGAAAATCTTTCAGTTGGCGAGGACAATGTAAGTTTTTGTTTTATTTTTATTATTATAACATAATAAAATACATTTTTGGTTTTGTATGAACTACAATAACAATAATTATTAAATGACTCTTTCAACAGAATGAGACAGAGATAGATATTTCGCTTTTGTCCAACGAAGAAATTACATCACATACTCAATTACTGGACAATGGTATTAAAGATATGAAAAACGAACTTGATTGTTTATCATACAAATTTCAGTCACAATTGGATAAAATAATAGAAAATAAAGGAAAAATCAAAGTCAACAAGTCATTACCTTATTTGGTGTCTAGTGTTATTGAGATATTAGATTATGATCCGGAAGTCACTGAAGAAGAGGGTCCTGAGATTGATTTAGATGGTAAAAAAAAAGAAAAAGGTGCAATCATCAAAACATCTACGAGACAAGTTAGCAAATGATTAAAATTTAAGCATTAAATTTTAATCACTTAATCATTAGATGATTAAAAATATTATTATTAAATGTATAAGTTATATAACACTATACTTGTTTTAATTTCAGACTTGTTTCTTACCTGTTATTGGTCTCGTTGATCCAGAAAAATTGAAACCAGGCGATTTGGTCAGTGTTAATAGAGACTCTTATATAGTAATAGAAACTTTACCGTCTGAATTTGATGCTCGTATTAAAGCAATGGAAGTTGACGATAAACCTACTGAACAGTATACAGATATTGGTGGCTTAGATATGCAAATTCAGGAGGTTAATTATCTATTATATTTTTGATTGTTAATTCATAATTAATACTAAATAGTAAATACTAAAATTGTATTGTTTCAGCTAATTGAAGCTGTGGTGCTCCCCATGACTCATAAGGAAAAATTTCTTAATCTTGGTATACAACCGCCAAAAGGAGTTCTTTTGTATGGGCCCCCTGGTACTGGAAAAACACTTTTAGCTCGAGCATGTGCTGCTCAAACAAAATCAACGTTTTTAAAACTTGCTGGTCCACAGTTGGTACAAATGTATATTGGTGATGGGGCTAAATTAGTGCGTAATGCTTTTGCTCTTGCTAAAGAAAAAGCTCCTGCCATTATATTTATTGATGAACTCGATGCTATTGGTACCAAACGTTTTAATTCCGAGAGAGTTGGTGATCGAGAAGTACAAAGAACTATGTTAGAACTCCTTAACCAGTTGGATGGTTTTAGTTCAACGTCAGACATTAAAGTGATCGCTGCAACAAACAGAGTAGATGTATTGGATCCAGCATTATTGAGATCTGGTAGATTAGATAGGAAAATTGAATTTCCACATCCTAACCAAGAAGCTCGCTCTCATATTATGCAGATTCATTCAAGAAAGATGAACAAAGTTGATGTAAACTTTGAAGAACTTTCAAAATGTACTGATGATTTTAATGGGGCTCAGTGCAAGGCTGTTTGTGTTGAAGCTGTAAGTTGACTTATGTATATTAAATATACAATTCAATTTTAAGACATTTGTTGAAATATTCACTGTTGTAAACAACATTTGTTTTAGATTAATAGTCAATTATAATAATAATATCTTTAACTAGTGTAAAACAAATATTTATTTGTTTGCACACTTCTTCTAAACTAAAAATTCCAATATGGTTTTCTAAGTCATTAAGAACATTTATTCCAGAAGATTTATATAATATATAGATGTATAATACATAGTATACTAGTATAAATATAAAAACTAAATGTATACATATTTATATATATATATATATAAGTAGTATAAATATGGCGCAATCTCTTAGTTGTCACTTTAAAAACTAATTTCTGAACTATATTCCCATTGTTTTTTATTCTCTGTTCTTTGTTCACTTTAAAACTAATTTTCTAATAAAATTATAATATTATGTATAATAATGTTTGTTCTGGCGCTGTCTCTTAATTCACACTTTAAAGCTAATTTCTGATCTCTTTTTACATTGTTTTTATTTCATAACAAATTCAGTTATTATTTGACCATTAAGCTCATCTTTAAATTTACCTGGAACTTTTTTATTTATTTGTGGTATTCCATATTTATTATTCTTTGGATAATCTGAAAAATCAAATTCATTTAAAAGTTGTTTATTGTTTTTTACATCTGTATGAAAATCATCAATTGAAATTTCTACTATTAAAGAATCTGTGTCTGTGTATAATAATCTGATATTTTTTCATTTTTTTTTTCAATCCGTTATAATAAAAATTCGAGTTTTAGATAAATCTAAAATACACATTCCTAAATAAATAAAATAAATAATTGGTTGTTTCAATTCAACCATAGTTTTTTTCATAAGTACAGCTACTAAGTTTTCTGTAAAAATAGTTGCTCAATCAAAATTTGGTTTAGCAACCCATTTTTCTATTTTTTTTTTTCCTCGTTAATTAATTTCATATCTTTATGGTTCCTTGTGGTCATCATAGTCCTACCAAATACACTGTTGTTCATTAACTTGTAATAATCTTTTTCAAATTCATTGTCTGTTTTTGTGCGAAGATTAGTGTTAAATTCTATATATGGTCTTAACCAATCTTTTTGTTCAAATTCTATAACTCGATATATTTTCTCTAATTTTAAACTTAAACTTAAATAAAGCCTAAGTTTAATATAATGTAAAATATATTTTTTCTTATCATATAGAGTTGTTGTTAATTTTGATAATTCTTTAATATCAAATATATTTTCGGGAGCCAATGGATAATCCGAATGGAGATCATGAAGATCTTCAGGGTATTTCAAATCTATTTCAAAAATATAACCTTTTTTCTGGTCGTCTTTCATTTTTAAAATTCTTTCTGTATCAAAGCAATCAGGATCAGACCATTAAAATCCTTTATATGGTAAATATTCACACATACCCCACCCATAGAGATTATTTGCATCCAAATTTAACAGATATGTCGGTGTTGTTTTTTCTGTTTGTTCTTTTTTATATTTTTCTCCAATATATTTATTATTTATTTTAGAATATCTAATACTACATTGAGATGAACCTCCTCTTATTTCTTGTTCAAACATTAAATATATATCAATATCTGTTATCAATTCTAATTCTATACCTGTTTTTCTAAGCATAGCATTCCATGCAAAACCTGGAGTTGTATAATAATGAATAGGATCCAACTTAAAATGTTATAATGAAACATGTCTATAATTTTCCATTATATCTGTACGTAATAATACATCTATTTTATTATAAAGTACAGTAAAGTCTTTCATATTTTTTATTTCAAATG